TAATACTAGTAAATTATACTTACACTCATTTTTGATAATGATAACGATAAAGATTCTTTTACAAACTGCATAAAATATTAATGTTCCACTATGAAGATTTTTCTAACTATGATAATTTCCTCAATAGTAATTTTCCAAATTTTTGTAACACTACTTACTCAAATTACCATAATTAAAGTCTGCAATATTTTTCGTGAGAGAAGCTCATATGAGTTTATTATAAAAAATAAATTATCTTAATCAAAGTACAGTAAATAGATTTTCACCATGATGTTTTATAAACATTTATATTAAATTTCGAATAAATTCTTGTAATATAAAGAAAATTTATAAGATCTAACAAGTGTAACTTCCTGATTTGATTTTCAAATAAAAGACAAAATTCCGAGTTAGCATAAATAATGATTCTGAGGTGTCGAAGAGAAAGTGAAAGGAAAGAAAGCAAAATAAAGAAATGTTGATAATCTGATGAGACATAAACACAAGGCTCATAATAATGAAATTAACCAAAAGGTACACATAGTCATTTTGTCAAAAACGCTAGGTAGTAACATGAATTCTATAAAGTATGCATGAATATTTTATGAAAGTATGCGCTTATTTCTTTGCTTAACTGACATTATGACTTGTTAACGTATGTCTTTCTTTATGCAACATTGCGTTCAATGGTTTTAATTAAATTTTTTTATAGAAATTTAGCAGAAGGAAATAAAATAAGTTTACTTCCAAAGTTTCATAAAGAGAAATTATTAGGAAATAAAAATGTCACTCAAATATATTAAAAATATTTGCTATTATTTATTAAATTTTGCATGAACAGAGCTAAAAGTAAATGCGACAGATAAAAGCTTTACAAACAAAGTAGTAATGGGAGGTAATATTACAAAAAATGATATATTTACATTATTTGATGGATATATTTACATTATTTGATGAATATATTTAAATAACAATGAAGCGAATACAAACCAAAAATGCTTCTATCATAAATTTTTTGATGATTCAGCCAATAAAAACATGTGCCCCACCGATAACTTGGTTCCTGCAAACTAATTGTGATTTAATTATGTCGTCACCCAAAACTCTGAATCGTCCTCAAATAAAAAAACCTAAAACATCAACAAACAAAAAAATAATAATAGAGACATACCTCGATAATTTAAAAAAGTGTTTGAATATTAATTAATTTATGATATGTACTATTATTAGCTTTAAATTATATCTACATGTATATCGTAATATCGGTTTTTATCATTGGTCATTATATTTTCACTTGAGCTTGTAAGCTAACTTTATAATATACACTCTAATTTATTTACAACGTTTCTAAAGTGTTGAGTGAAGGATCTTTGGAAATACTAATAATTTCCGATTCTATCTCAAGATTATATCAGTTAAGGATGTTAAAAGTCCGGTCCGGCAGTTGAATACATTTGGAAACTGGATCTGACTCAGTTAGAGTCGCCTGCTTTAATATTTACTTATATATTATTCGATAGACAATAATAAAAATATTTTTTTTTGTAAATTGTTTCTTGCAATAAATAGCCATATTAGATGGTACATGGAATATGTTTACCATATAATTATTAGTGGTCAGTCAACTATGTGCTATTTAATTTTCGACTCACATGACTACCAGTACTGAGTCTTTCGGTCCCTCCAAATTTGAAGTCGAACCTGATACAGTTTAACTCAGACAAGCTTTTTAGCATCCTTATCGTTAAACACAGTAAAACTTGATAAACTGGAGTAATACATCCATTTATTGAGTGAATTTTACACCATAATCAGATTTATTGAAACTCTTTATAGTATAGGACATCTAAACACAACACTTGAAATAAAACGTAATAGCTAAATAGAATAATAGGCATATTAAAGAATGAATTTATGAAAAGCTATTTTAAAATTTCTTTTTTTATAAAGTTATTTTAATTTAAAGTTAACATTTAGCATGTATCTCTTTTCAATTCAAAGGTCATGCAATTCTCCTCATTTTCCATATTTCTTTTAATGTCCAATCTCTTTCATGATGAGCATGAATGTGAGAACTCGAGATTAGAACAAAAATGAGTGTGAATAAGAGTAAAAGAGTTGTTTTTGCTGACATTGTAAATTATTGATCGAATCTACTTATTGAATAGATTTAGTGATATTATTTTTTTGTGTTTTAATTTTTTATTGATATTTTAATACATTCTTTGAAAGAAAAGTGTTACGCTACTCGAATTCTTTTAAAGCTCTGTTCGGGCGGGTCGGGTTTGAGGTCAACCCGAACCGAGAATTTCGGGTCGGGTTCGGGTCGGGTTGACCCGAACCGATTGGAGCTTTAAATTCCTTATATGTCTCAAAATTTCTACGCAATGAAGTGTTTGCTTGTGTGCTCGCAATGACTTTTAATTTTGCTAAGCACAAGTAATAGGGCTGACGATTCAAAGCCTCTGATAATAATATTACAAAGCCACTTTCTATATCCGATGAATTATATTAAGTAAATCTTTTATTATAAATACATGTAAATAAATTTTCCATTTGCATAATTTTGTAGTACATGTAGTTAGCTTTTGTCTAATAAAAATGCAAACAATGAAAAATAAATTGTTTATGAATTTAAGGTTAATATACTTTTATTTTTAACTGACACATATTAGCGTTATTCAGTAATACACTGACGAAACTAATATACTGTACATGTATATTGCAATATTCTTTAATAGAATATTTGATTTGTTAGATTGAACTATTTTTATTATAAATAATAAATTTTCTATAATTATTTACACAAGTGAAAATCAATTTAGGGGCTGAATCGATGAAAAACATGAGCAAGTATTTGTTAAGCGTTAGTAATAAGGCTAATGATTCAAAGCCTCTTTCTGTAAAAGTATATTTTTTACACAATGTCATAATGGTATCAGATAAACTAAGTTAATCTTATAAATAAATTTTTTGGTTTCATATCGATATTTCTACTGCACACCCTCTCTAAATGCACAGTATGGCTGGGTCCTAGCTCATAAGAGCTCTATATATTTTACCCACTATAAATGCATACACTCTTTAAATGCACGCTTTACTATGGTCCCAAGGAGGGTGCATTTAGGGAGGTTTGTCTGTATATCATAAAAATAGCGTATTTGAAATTTTCTTCGAAAACACACACACACAAAATAAAATATAATTCAACACTAAATTCTTGCTCTTCTTGTTACCTCGATTGTTTCCGTGTCGGCGCACACCACTATGGGTTAACCATCAACAAAAATCATCTAGTTGCTAAAAAGTAAATTTACGTGATACATTTCCCCCGTAAAGTAATGGCCGGTGGTTTTTTATTATAATTTTTTTTTTTACATAATAATTAAATTTAAAATTTAATTTTTATAATATAAGTAAGATTTTATATCCTAGAAATATTAATATTTAATATATATTTTTCTATTTTTTTTTAATATTAATGTAATAATTTATTTATTAAAAATTTCCAACTAATAAATTTTTTACTTTTTTTAAAATATTTTAAGAAATAATTAATATTTTATGCTGATTTTTTGGAATCGACTAGATATAGATCGGTGAAACAAATTTTTTGAATGGGCAAAACCGATTTAATAATGTAGTTTTCGAATTACGTATTGAGCTATGTTTAGTGGCGATCCCGTCTTAATAGCTCAAAACTTTATTAATAAACTGGTTTTAGAGTATTATAAAAAAGTGTTCAGCTGATCGATTTACAATTACCATAAAAATTCCAGAAAAGTAGACATTTCTGTGATTTTTAATGGTCAATCGGCCATTACTTCCGGGGGAACTGTATATAAAAAAACTGACACAATTATATTTATATAGAAGACATCCAAATAACCCAAACCCGCAGCAAAAGAACACAACTGTTTCACGACATCACTCAACAGAGGTTCTGACCGTGCATAGCAATAACATATTCCTTGCCTCCAGAATTATTTTAACATGACTGTTTCCATGCAATTTTCGAATGGTCACGATCATGTGACCAATAAGGATACGCAAATTTTCACATATAGCTCTAACTTGAACTCTAACCTTAACTCTGACCTTAACCACAACCACTTGATCGTTATAAAAATCGCATTGTATGTTAATTTTATATGCGTTCTAATTTATTACTAAAAAGTATTGAGTGGGAGGATTTTTTGAATACTAAAGTTTGATGTTTTTGTTTACAAATCAAGATTTATACATGTAGTTATCGTTAGCTAAAATGCTAAAATGCATACGTAATACGTAAAGCTACAGAATAATCTAGTCACAGGGGTATGTGAAATTTTTTCGATTACACAACGAATAATTTGCAGTATTTTAAACTTGCACGTTTGTGTTTATATTTTATAATTTATCAATACAATTTTAATATACAGTCATACTTGGGTTATATCACCTCTATATGTTTTTTAAATTTTGTGGGATACAACTGATGGGATATATAAAGCACACTTAAAAAGGAAATCTATTACAGCTCAACTGTGGGGATATAAATGCGGTTTTGAATAAGTGTTTTTACATGAATAAACTAAGGGAGATACATGTATAACTGTATACACAATGATATTTACTTACCACATGTAGGTAATACATGTACACTTTTGCATATCTTCTGTGTATCGATAACGACAAGAAAAGAACTAATAACGATAGAAAAGCAATTCTCATAGAGGATGTGTACGAAATAATTCTGCACAATTAAACTTCTATAATTGCATATTAATATGTATGTGAAAGAAACAAAGAATTACATGTACGTATTATTGAAAGGAGAATCCCACATAGAAAATGCAGTCAGATTCTTATCGTTATATAAACAATCACAAGAATTGTTGCTTTTAGCACTCTGTGCCTTTGAATTTTAAAACTTTGAAACATTTATCGAAAAATAATTATTGAATATTCTCTCAAGGCTTAATTTTAAAAAAATGCTCTCCAAAAATTTCGTAACCTTTTTTCAGCTGTTTTTTGTCTTAATGCTATTAATATGCAATGATTTTGTTGTTACTTCATTGCCAATTAAAAGAGAGTAAGTTTAAGAAGAAATTTATTATTGAATAATTTAAAATTTTTCTATATTTTACAATTCCACATTTTTATAGTTGCTACTGGTCTCTATGTGGTCAGGAGACAGGTTACGGCACGTGGGTTCCTGGCGAAACGGGCATCGTAAACTTTGGTATTCCTAATGCTGGTATTACCAATGCTTCTCCCATTTTGCCTCTTAACATTAATAATAGTGTAAATCAATCAATTTAAATAAATTTTCGCTATATTTAACCAATAAAAATTTTTCATGGAAGAATCAAGCTTTCCAATGGTATGCTAACTACGTACATGCATCAACTTATTTTGAAAGTACTGTAAATTTTTGAATTTAAAATTTGAATGAATTGTTTGCCTATGACTATCGCTATTGCTATGTAAAAATTATCGTTGTGTGACAAATGGTTAAAATTTATTACAGTACGAAGAAGAAAAATAGTATAGCTATATTAATTGTAAATATCGATAGCTATGCACAAAAGAATTGATTTTTTGACACAAAGAAGCAAATAAAGTTTTCAATTTCTGTGTATTTAATGATTTTCACCAATCTAAGATCCACCAGATTACGTTCGTAATTTTTATATGTTTACAAGAATTTTCCGGATCTTTACATCTAATAGGCGTCATTCAAAGACCACGATAAATTCAATTATGAACAGTAAAATTCTGAGATTATTACAACTATCGGAAAGACCTCATAATTTTAACATTGTCCTTCAACACCTTCCAAATTTTTTCGATTGGATTCAAGTCTGGCGAATTTGCCGGCGAGTCGATAGTCGTGATTTTATTTTTCTCAGCCCAATTCTTGATTTTTCTCACGGTATGGATTGGTGCATTGTCCTGTTTAAAAATCGCGTAGTTTCCTGGATTACGTTCTGAAATGGCAATAAATTGATTTTAAAATTTCAAGGTAAGTATTTGCATTTATTTTCTTGTTATTTTTATATTCATCGCAAAAATTGACGGCCCTTTAAATCCTCCCGCGAAACACCCCCAAGCCATTACGGAATTTCGATCACTTTAAAAGTGTATTGTTACAGGTTAGTGACCGATTATAGGAATTAGCCGCTAATCTGTAACTTGGATGGGAGAAACAAATTAAACTAAAGTTATTTATTTATTAGTTTTCCAAGGTTCTGTGCCA